AGCTGACATACTGATGCTATGAAATTGTCAGTCTCAAAGATTTTCAAAGCTCTATGATGTGGGAGCTGAGATATTTTTAAGCAGAAATACATTAGAGATATTACGGGCTGATAAATCAGCTCTTTTAGTTGTTTGTTTAAATAACAAACACTTTTGTTTCCAAATTCTGAATGAAATTTTGGACATAACTTTTAAACATTTCAGTCATCTTTTAATCTTTGGAAATTCTGATTTTGATTCTAAGAATATAGATTTATTTAATCCTGTATAGGTTCACAATCCCAAATACTTCTTTAAATCCTGATAATTTCAGCAAAATTTAAGTGCTTTTTGTATGTGATAAACAAGTACAGTTCTCAAACATAATGAATGATTTAATAAGACTGCTGGAATCAAGGAGAAAGGGAGTTGTGCTGAAGCCCTGCTCTTGAATCTCACACACATGTCACTCATAGAAACCATGCCCTCCACTGCTCCCGGTGTGTGTCCTGCTGTGTAGATTTTCAGTTCCATTTTTGTGTAGCTGTGCCAGAGGAAGCCTGTGTTCTGGGGGCAGTTTGGCTGCTGGTCTGCTTCATCCTTTCCATAACTTTTGTTTTTCCATCTAAGAATGATCTGAGAACTGATGCTTTGTAGTTCTTGGACAGTAATGAAACCTTTCGTGACACTCAGGAGTTGTGAAATGTATCTCCAACCAGCTAGCCTTTATCTTTGAGAATACACCTATGTTGTGACAACTGGAGACTTTTTCTCATGTAGGTGCTCTGTATCACTCAGGCATGGCCTGGTTTGGAAAGAGCTCTTTGCTTGAAGCAAAGAATAGGGTTTAATTTGCAGTGTCAGAAGAGGGGAAAGCCTTTTATTGCAGTTCTAGTTATCATGAAGATGAAAATAGGATATGAAGATTGATCACTTCAATTTCAGTATTTTCAATATTGCCCATAAAGCAGGTTTACATAACTCTGTTCTGTGTGTGTAATTCTCCCCAGTCCCAAGCCTACTAACCAATTTTAAGCGCTCTCTCTTTCCAAATGTGCTTATACGAAGATCTGGTATAAAGATTTTTTTAAAATTATAGACTGGGATATATGAACCACTACATCCTAAGGAAAAACAACATTAGCGATTTTTTGTGTATTCTGTTTAGTCTTTTACAAGGCTGATGAAGGTGTGCATGTTGGCAAGTTATTAACCAAGTTAATATACCCGGTGTAGCTCAAGCAATTGGTCTTCAAAACACCAGTTGGCTCCAAAGGCAGACTACCTTCTCCAGATTGCAGGTGTATTATGTACGAAGCCTACTAAGAGGCCATAAAGTTCACAACCACCGTGTCCAAGAATATGATTCAGGATATGTTTGCTTTAGAGCAAAGTGTTTATTGGGATAGAAAATTATATGGCTGCGAGACCTAGCAGCCCCAGAAATGTCTAAAGTCTCAGAGCAGCATGTGAACATGCTTCTTGCATAGGGACAACAACATGATACATCGAAGAAACATATCCTTCAGCTAGGCATGATAATTATTAGATAAGTGCCTTTTGGAAAAGCAGCTGAGGAAATAATAGTTGCTTTTGGTATGAGAGAGTTCTTCAGGTGCTCCTGGTTGCTTCTGTGGGGCAGCAAGGGACAAGACAGCAGAAAACAGACCTAAGCTGATGCATATGCTAGCTGTCGTGGTACTGCGTCATGGGTTTTCCAGTGTTGTTTTGTGTGAATTTAGTCACGTTTAAACAATCATTTTATAATGTCCAAAGTTTTTTATTATGTCAGAATAAAGTATGTTTATTATGTCAGAAGTTAAACTATATTGGCAAAAAAGACTATTTCTGATAGATATTTAGATGGGTTTTCATCCCTGGCAGCCGAGATTTTTATCAGCTTCTGGTGAAACCGTTTTTGCTTGATCTCTTAATCTGTTTCAGTCTTAGCAACAGTGAAGGCACAGCACAGTGCCTAATTGTGTTGCACTGATGGTGTGTCTGTCTCAGGTTGTTTGGGACTGAGCTTCTCGGGTGTCAACATCCAGTATATGTAACGTCTGCCTTCCCTGTAATGTCATGTAAGAAGGTTTTGTTTTGTGTTAACGTGTATTATGTGGGATTATATAAAAGCAAATGTATATAGCTAAATGTCCCTGTCTCACATTTGTCTTTGCCAATTATTATGTAATAACAATAAACCAGTAGTAAAAGTGACAGGCATTTGCAGTGATTCTAGAGGAAAAAATATTGAGTAACTTTAAGAAAATATTGACGTTGGTCTTCTCTTTACTTACAGTAAAGGAGAACAGTAAAATATGCCGTTTCCTGGATTTTGGCTTTGCAGATGATGCGATAGCTGCCCAGTGATACTACAGCAGGAGGAGGTAGTGACTGATATAACCAGTTGCTACCTCATCAGGATCTGAAACAGGGGCAAGCTCAGGAAGTTTGATGAAATGCTGAGGCAGGATTTCATGATCTCTTCTAAACTGTGGCCGGCACTTGTGTTCAGAAAACCAGAAGTTACCCACCACTAAAAAAAGTTGCAGGTAGTACCTGGGAGCCAGTTCTTCTTGGTGAATGAAAGGAAGAGATATATGGAAATGTTGTTTTGGCCTGTGGAATTGCTCCTTCACAGAACTCATTTTTTAAATGAAGGTTGATTTTATTTATCTCTTTAATTACTATAATTGAACAATATTTTGAGATGATCATGTATCAACAGTTCTTCACTGAAAAAGAAAGACCTGTTTACGTTAGCCAGCTTAAATCTATGAATCACTGTATTAGGAAATCAAATCTGCGTAATAGTTTTCAAAATAGCACCTTAATTGGAAAAGAATATTAATTATCTCTTTATCATGGATATCTGAGTGATGAAACTGGAACTTCAAAATAACGTCTTTCTTATTTTTTAGAAAAATCCTTTATATAATGCTCTTAGAAGTAAATACAAATAATTTGTACCTACATACATGTGAAATGCATTAGTGTGCTTGTCAGCTCATGTTTGTATTCAGACTTTCTCAGAACCTTTCAGTGCTGCTTTCATTTTCTCCTGTCTGTCAGAAATGTTTGTCTTTGGTTTGAAAGTTTACCTGCTTTCTTTATGGGTAGATACAAGGAAACTTTGACAGAAGTAAATTTCTTTTTTTACCAAAATATCTGTTATAAATCTGTAAATTTAATGAAAGCTCTAAATACTAACTTAAAATTATAATCTTTGTGTAGCTTTGCAACCCATAAATCTTTTTACAATCACAGTAGTAGGAGTTTATTGTATGAAAGTTTATCTTTTAAACAAGCTGTGAGAAATCTGAAAATTTAACTTTTTACATAACCATTCTCATGAATAGCCTTTACCAGGCTTTTGCAGTTCATCTGCAAAAATAAAGTAAATAAAATTATTTGCTCAGAGATGTGGTTTGCATGTTCTGCTTAGCTGCTGAAACACACAGGTACAGTTTTCTATTTCTGCAACGTTACTGGAGTAACTACATAAAAGTTTTCAGAGCTTCCATTGCCTTTTATCTCAGAGTGTACTGACCAACCACAGAAGGAGAGACAGAAACAACTGTCCTGCAATTAGAAACTTTTGTTCTCAATTTTATCAATAATTGTAGATATTATGTTATTTTACACTAAAGAAACAAAAAGCAGATTGTTCATAAGATTACGTATTGAACTATATACAGTTTTCTCTCCTGTATTCTTTAATACTAAATTAGCATAATACTAAACCCAAAACAGATTCATTTAAACTTGCATTGTCTTCTTTCTGTGTGTGTGTGTGCCATGTCTGCCTTCATAAAGCCGCAAATGTCATTTGGATGTTCATGATTAGTACCAACTCTGCCTGTGTTCAGTGTTGCCTGGGTATCCCATGCGTCGAATGAGATGCTTCTTCTAAAGTTTTTGAATTTGATTTTTCTATGTCTTCACACCTAATACCTTGTAACAGACATAATGGCTACCTCTGTATATTTTTAACCCTTGAGACCACTTCTCAGTTCTCTCTCAAGTGTCTTTGCTTAATGAAAACTTAGTTTTCAAATAAATCTTCATCTGTTTTATGCAGATAAAGAGTTCCTGTGCCCTCAAGCTTACACAGATGGGTGATAAAATTGGGTCGGAAAACTAGATTACACTTCATTCCTGTAGTAGGTATAGAAGACCAATGCATAAGTTCTGAATGCTGTGCTTGGTACTCACCCAGTGCTGTCTGCTTTTCCAGCAGTACAACAAAGATAGAAACCAGAAGTTTGTACTAAAACATTGTTCCTAATCTAGGTCTAAGTCAGTGCTGCAGTTCTGTCCTCATAGAAAAATTAAATCTACCTGTGTGCAATGCTTTTTTCTTTTTTAAAGCCACAAATGCTTGCATTAGAAACTTACAGAAATTCCAGGATTAAATATCTGCCCCTTGATTTTACTCCCTTGTTTGTGTTCATGAGGTATCCGTCATTAGTAGATGTCATGCCTAATGGTTAGCAGAACAGAAAATTCAAACCCTCCTGTTACAGTTGTTTTCAGCCTGTGTCTGTAGGCTGTTGTGGTCTGTTGAATACTTTTTAAAGATTAGTGGAAGCTGACAGAGAGAAGCGATCATATTATCAAATAGCCTTAAATTCACTATACACTGAATTTACCTATTCTCAGAAATAGAATAGTTTAGGAGGTCAAACTTTAAAGAAAGATTAAAAAAAGGAGGGGGAATATGGATGCTGCTCAAGATGCATTGTTTATGTAGAGTATACAATGTGATATTTCCATTCTGCATTCTCTTGTATTTCTATAATTCATTTTTTCCCATGATAATTACATGGGGTTTTCCACACTCGATATTGTAGGAGCCAGTCTTTCAGAACAGTTATTTTAATCAAGTTTTGTTACAGATTTCACAACTGTTCAATATATTAAGATAACTGTATTAGCTAACTTGGGGTGGGGGGTGGATAACAATCTGAACTGCCATTTTTACTGTAGATAGCTGACATTCTTTCGCTCTCCACCTGTAGGTACTTCCAGCCCCTTTGCTTGATGATACCAACAGAAATGAACTGGGAGAAGAAGCAACAGCTGTTAAGTCTCAAGAGTTTCAGGATTCTATGAAAATAGCTTGGCGCTACCAAAATTTACCAAAAATGGAGGTAATCAGTATTTCATACATTTTTCCTCTTGCAGTCAAAATGAATTTACAGGACAAATGCTTTGCATTGGAGTCTAGACGAGAGAACTGCTAAAGGACAGTGTTACAGGATTGCCTCCTGAGGGTACATTATCATACGCCACTGTGTTTTTTGATTACTAGAGATACAGAGAGAAAGGGAATTTGAGAGTTTGCAGGAACTGTATAAGTTAATACAGACAACAATAATTTAAAAGTAGAAAACATTAAAGTACCATGGGTTTTTTTAATGAGTATCATTAAGCTGAGACAGCTTTTTATGAAAGTTTGAATAATTTGGTCACTTACAAACTTTGCCCAAATTTAGATGTACGCAAATTACTTAAGTAGATTTAATCAACAGTACTTACTACATCTCTGTAGTGAAAGTACTGTGTCAACGCAAGCTGTTGACCTCCTTATCCGTGTGCGTAACAACTAAAGTAAGCACTTTACATTATATCAGCTTCACTGTCACTGGAAACTAATCACTGTGCAGGGAGAATATAAAAAACAAGCCCAGTGGTCAGTCTTTCAGAGTTTACAGTTGTTAGTGTTTTGTGAATAATGTATCATGCCTGGTACTTTCTTATTTAATCCAGTGGCACAATCAGCCTTTAATAAAATTAGAGCATTTTTGAATGTCCAGAACAAAAAACTTATTTTGTGTCTACATTTTAGCCTATGTTTATAGATTCTGGCTTAGATGTAGTCATAACTGCCTAGTAAGTTCAGTCGTATTCTTAAAAAACGTAATTGGAATGTGACAAAATGATCTTACAAGGCTTGGCATGTTTGGTTTTCTGTGAAATTACACAGACATGGCTATATAGTTGTGTCAGAAAAGACTTATATATGGTGACACGCCAAATCAAACAGCCTCCAGGGTAATCATATAATCTCATCAATTTTATTATTCTAGAGCTTGTTGCACCACTCTGAACCATCCCCAAAATAATTTGTCTCTTTTAAAATCCAGCAGAATTCTTCATACATTGATATGGAAACAACTGCATGTCATTAACAAATAGCATTTTGTTCTAACAGAAGAGAAAACGTGCAAATAATCCAGTTAGGTGTGCACTCATCCTCTATAACTTCATAGAAGTAATCACTTCATCCACTGATGTAATATTTATCTACAATGCGTAATGTACTTGTTCACGATTATTGAAATTTGATTAGGCAAGGTAGAATACAATGGTCAATCTTTTGTGGAGTGCTTCCCTCGTTATAATTATCACTTTCTGAATTGGATGCTTATCATTCTGAATAGTTCGGGTACAGTATTTTTTTATGAATATGTTAAATTTATTTTAAAAAATTAAAACTTGCAAATAAAAGTCTAATTCTTAAGCCAGCTATACCTAAAATTGGTCAGGATATTCTAATAAGTAAAAAATAGTTTTGAAATTAATTTTTTTCAGTATTTTTTAAAGCGGTTATCATAAAATTTTGGTGCTGTGCTAAATTAATTTGATTGGTGAATATACTCCACTGAGGAAAAATCTGATGTTGCCTTGCAGCACCTTGGCTGTTATAATACGCTTAGTACTGTCATTTAATTAACAGCTTCAGTTGTGATTTATTCTTTAAATTTCCTTTTGGTGGTAACAAATAATGTTGAATAAAATTTCAAGGCATATTTTCCAAACTGTTTGAACTAATAAACTAATGCATTTTCAGAAACTACTGTCAAATAGTTTCAAGTAGGAAAGAGAGAAAATAGCTTTGCTTTTAACTAAAATTCTAAATGTGTTAGCAGAGAACTTTTCCATTCGATATCTGGCTTTACATGAAGTAAGAGTGCTGAGTAAAAGCTGTCTTTGTGGTATTTTTGATGCCTAATTTAGTTTTTATTTCTGGGTAATAAAACAGATTTTTGTTAATAGTTCAGATATTCCCTTCGCATTGATGAGACCTCGTACAGACTAGCTAGGTAACTCATTTTTGTTCTTACGCGTGGTGTTTATGTTGGTACTTTTCATAACTATCACAGTTTCTCTTTGCATATTTGCATATACCTTGTACATTGGGAAAAGACAGATCTTTTGTAAGAAATCTGTCAGAGTAATAGGTCGTGTTGTGCTTGATGTGCCTGTGCCAGTTTGTTACTTTCGTCTGTATCAGAGGTTAATTTCCTCTAAACTTTTGAGTGTATGGATAGCCTATTTTGCAATGCAAGACTGTGGGGATTTTTTTTTGTTTTTTCTTTTTTTTTTTTTTTTTGAATGAACTGCTTATCTTCTTGGGGCAATATATAAACTGTCACAGCATGAAATCAATTTTCTGCCTTGATTCATCCTAAATCTGAGATTTCTAGCACATTAGTATTGCAATTAGAAACATTGACAGCAGACGGTAGCATAAAAGCACGCTCTGCTCACTGACAATTGAGTGTATTTCTCCTTGTGCAAAATAGGAATCCAGGAAAGAACAGACTTGAGCCTCCAATCCACTAATAAATTTATCAGATCAAACTTGAGAGGAATGGAAAGTCTCTGCTTCGCACTCTCCATGGTCATTCTGCTAAGGCAGATTATTCATGCTTACTTGATTCAGGTAGGCTTTTTGCAAGCTTCCCCGCTAAGCCTGGGAATGCAGTACATTGAGGCCTATTCATAGGCTTCTGACATAGACCGAGCTTTTATTGCATGGTGTTTTATTATAGCCAAATCCTAGTCTCCACCCAGTTTGTAGGCACTGTGCTTATTCTTTTGAATCAAGAGAGGTTATCACCTACCTTAATCCATGCAGCAGGGTGGATTAAGGACACCAATGTGCCTCAGGATTCTCAAAGAGGATCCTGGAAACTTCTTGTTTCTTCTTTTTTGCTGTCTTTACTAAACTCTATTGGGCTTCAGTAAGGATTTGCATCTGAAATGGGCAACCTGGAGTTTTTCTCAATGAAGACATCAGATCAAAGTTCAGTTAGTCAAGGCCTTTCTAAAACATTAAGGGGGCTTGGAAGTACACAATAAAAAGATGAGCTCTGGCAGAGATTGCAGTAAAAACATTCTGATCTGTAATCCGGATAAAGAATAGATTATAGGCCAAAGAACAGCCCTGTTTAAATTGCTTTCAGAATCCTCGTTTTAAATAAAGTTACATTTTACATTAAAAATATTTAGATTTTGATGGATGATTGCGTTTTGTTGGACTTCCTTCTTTAAAATTCAGGTGCTGAAAAATAAATCGGAACACTGACTTAGAGAATGTGGTTTTTAATCTTTTTTGAGTAAAACTGGTCTGTCTGATGATTAGATATACATGATATTTCATTTTAGTTTGATACTTTATCATTTAATATGTGAAGTGGCTCTTGGCTCTTATAGGGAATTCATCTTAGCAGTAGGTCTTGAAGTTGGAAGATAGAAAAATGACTTTAAAATATTTTTGCACGTTCCTGCATTGTACACTGTTGTAATTTGTTACTTCTTTACAGTGTGTACATGAAAAAATACTGTGTAGTGTATCTGTGACAAGTGTTTTTGTTCCCTGGAAGAAACTAATTTGCCTCTGAGGTTTACTCTGCTTGACTGTTCTTTCCAGGATAGCTTGTTTTTTAATGTGAAGGGCAGAAAAGATGAAGAAAATGGATTGTTACATGAATAGCAAAAGCTGTTCAATTCCTTTAGCAGACAGCTACTACATACTTGAATACTGCTTATTGTAACAGTATAAGGGGTGTTCAACATTACATGGTGATTTATATATCCAAAATTGAGACCTGATAAAAAAGTATCTTCATTCTAGGAAACCATGGTTATTGTGTGTAATGTCTGTGATCAACCTGCTATTTATTAAAAATTCAAGAAATTAAAAGTAGTTTTTAACTATTTCCTCTTTTCTACACTTTTGTATTAAAATCAGATATATGAAGATGTAATGGTATTTTTTCTTACTGATCATAAATAAACAAAGTGAAGCATATTCAAAGTCAACTGAAAATGTTTCTGTAGTACTATATAATTCCCAGTTACTGAAAAATCAGACAGGTGAAACATGTCATGGTCTGCATATTTCATACATCTGGCTTTTTGAAATTTGTGATCATATGTCTGGAACATGTGCAAAAATAGATTCTTTGAAGTATCTGACTGCACTTTGATGCTGCAACTTGGAACAGTAAGGGTTGAATTCTATGTCAAAAATTTGCATTATAGAAAGTCAGCAGGGGAACCAAAATTTTGTAGTAAAAATTATAATGTTACTCTACTTGAAGCTTATGCTTAAGCTGAACAGAGGTTTCTTTCAAGTGTATTGCTAGTTAACTATTTTCTTTCGACAGATAATGATTTAATAGGTTATGTAATCAGTATTGTTGTTTCCACAGGCCAGCCCAACAACATCTACAAAGTTTGGCCATTATTACGACATTTCTAAAACAATGTCTCCAGAACTGTTTCAGTCCGTAAAATGGCACAGTTTTTATCTTCCTGAAGAATTATCTTCACAGCCTGAAATCAAAACATGGTAAGTTGTAATACCACGTGCTTCTGTTGAGTCTTCAAATTTTGCCTGCATATTAGTAGTAAAGGATGTTTTTCCATCAACACTTGCTGTGAAACACCTTATAGCCACACGTGGCTCACAAGCAGTTCAGCTGCGGTTCCCATGTCAGTGCTATGTGCCATGACTGGCAGCAAAGCTGCTGTGGCACAGAGACAGCCCAGTGCACTGACTCCTCAGCGGTGAGAGGATGCAAGCTGGCAGGGACAATTAAGGCAGACATTACTAGGACAGCCTAGGACATGGCTGCATGTTCAGTCCAGCCCTACTGACAGCTGAGTGTGAGGACTGGGGAAAACTAGTACTGTCTGTCTGTGAACTACTCCCTGAGCACCATGCCCCATCAGCTTTTGGAGATGTGTGTGTCAGGTGGCTATCAGTCTTAGGAAGATACCCGTACAGTTTTTAGAGCTGAGAAGACAGGCCATCCTTGACCTACATAGCTTAGAATGCTACATCAGATTAGTTTATGATGTGAGTTTTACTTCTTACATCCTACAGCTTCACCTAAGGAAAACACAAAATACTGTGAACAGAATTACAATCACTAATTATGTCTTACACAACTTCCCTAATTCCAGAGAAAATCATAAACTCTTCTCTGAATAAATAACTTCTTATAGTTTATGTCTATCAGCAATGAATTAAGGAAGACCAACAGAGAATGAGTGACAGTAGCAAAGACTTATATTAGCCTGTAGCACACATGTCCATTGTATCTTTCTTGGGGACATTTCAAGTCAAGTCAAACATCAAATAGAGGCTAGCAATTTCTTTGTTTAGCCCCGTCACTTAATTTATATCATACCTACTTTTATAGATCCCAGTGTATAGGGCCAACTCCTGGCAGTAGTAGCATGGTATGCTTTATTGTGATTGATTGTCATTGCAGTACATTCGCATAGAAAAACTGAGATTTATGAAGGAAGCGCAGTATGAAGCACCTTGCTTAGAGCTGCAGAAAAGCAAAAGCCAAGTCTCTTTGTAATTTGTTTGTGTTACATGATCAAATGTCACTGATTTGTAAAGTAAATTCTTGCAGTGTTGTGAAAAAAAAAATACACTTTAGGGAGAAATCAGAGAACTTGTATTTTATTCTTTCTATAGTAATTATTTGAACCAACTTTATTTATATATTATGTATAATTTTTTTTTCTTTTTAGTAGCAGGGCCATAGAAGATAGACGCAAGAATATCTGACAGTTAGGTTGCAAGTGCTTATGTCGTTATTGAGCAATTTAACTCTCTTTCTGTCTTTTCTCTAGATAACTAGAGCATCTCATGACTCTGGGCTTAATTCCACTAACTACATTTTACATTAAAATCAAATTAGCTCATATGTATAGCATAGGAAATGGACTTTAACTTCTATGCAGTTGATTTTATAAACCTTGCTTAACTCATGTATTCCTTGTGTGCTATCCTGATAAGAGTTCATCATTGCCCTAGTGAGGCCCCATCTGGAGTACTCTGTCCAGTTCTGGGCTCCCCAGTTCAAGAAAGATGAGGAGCTACTGGAGAGAGTCCAGCGGAGGGCTACAAGGGTGATGAGGGGACTGGGGGATCTC